ACACTAAGAACAGGGCCAATAATAGGGAGCTGCAAACCTTTTGCTGTCAGGGAAAAAGTCATGTGAAAGGAGATGACATGTCAGATTGTGCTTTAACAGACTGAGGCTTACAGAAGCCGAACACTGCAGTAAAATAGCTTCTTGTAATTCTCTTTTTACCCGTGTCATTCTCCAAATTACTGACATTTGCCGAGGAGCACTTTAAACAACATTTTAGTGCACAGTGTTCAATCTTAACAATGTTTCTGTTTGAACAAAGAATCTTGGAGATTTTATAACAAATCCAAAATAATCTACATACTATGATATTTATTACCTTCCATTAGAAGAATGGATGCATTTTATCTAAAGTCTTCAGTATCCTTCATAAAACCTTTGTCTTACTTCTCATTTTGACACTTACTGTATCTTATTGCAAACCTTTGGGGCTTTAACATCCTTACCTGTACACTGAGGGCCAGTAGATGATAGAATAACATTAAAAAGTAGTTATTATAACTGCTGGTATTCCACTACTCTTAAGCTTATGTAAATACTTCAGGTTGCTTGTATAAAAACTTGAACACAGTAAAACCCTGTGGTCCGGTACATTTAGCATCAGCTTTGACCTCGGTCCCTCTTGTGGCAAAGTGCTGTTTTGACTCCAACTGGTTTGCACAAATTACAAGGTACTCTTTATTGTTAAACACCGCCACACACACACACACACACACGCCCCAACACATCTCCATGCAAGCACACACTTACACTCACTTAGGGTCCCTCTGTGTATGTGTGGGTATGTCTTGTGGTCCAGGTTTGTTGATATAGCCGCAAAGAGGCAGCTTTCGCATTAAGAAGGGGTATTTTACCATTAGATGAAGTGTTGCTTTGTATCCACATAAGCTCTCAGACATAAACATGGACAAATGGGTGTATTGATGAATAGAAAGTACCTGATTTAGCAACAGAGGCTTATTTATGCTCTGACTGAAAGGATGTAAGCTGTTCTATCAGCCCATAGGATGATGTAGAAAAAAATGAATAGAGGAGTAAACTAACTGTGAAATATTTCTACAGACAGACTAAGGCTTAATAAATCACTTCTAATTGTTTCTAAAGGTTTTGGTGGGTTTTGCTTTCAATTGTCTCTCGGTGTCTTCATATCTGTTTGTTTTGATGTGTTGGAAGGCATCTATCATAGGCTTAATAATTACAGGCACATATACACACACACAAGGGTGCTCTGTGAGATTATAACTCATGTATTGATTTAAAGTCGATAAACAGAGAAAGCCAATGCATCATTTTGATTAACATCTCTATCTGCAGATTCTTTCCTGTCTTTTGCAGTGATTTTCAGGGAATGGCATCTGCTCTTAATGTGAACCATTTAGATCTTTGATCATTCAAAGTTTTAGAAAAATGTGGACAGTTTGCTGGAGTAGATGAAAAACAGAAATAAAGTTTAAGTTTGAAAAAAATAAAAGCGATTCCTTTTAACATTTTTTGAGGGAAAGGCTGAGGCAATTTTACATAATCGCTGATGTTTGTTGTTTTAGTGCAACTATATTTGGGAATTTTCAAGGGTTGTTTATTATTTTCCTTTAGTGTTCACCTACTCCAGATAGTTTGTTGGATTAGTCCGTTCTTAAATCATTAAACCATCTAGAATTATTTTTGCTTAAAATACTTTACAACAGTTTTATCCATAAAAAAAAAAATCCCTGTTCAGAAAATTCTCTCAGATAAACTTTAAATACATTTTGAGAATATTCCCTCACAGAGGCAAAGCGAAGCTCAGACACTCATTTTTTTGTTGTTTTTTTTTATTATTTTTATCAGACATTTGTATCTGTGTATCTGTACGTATGCTTTTGCTTGTTAACAGATATTTCCACCAAAAAGCGATGGCAGGGGATTTAGTGGAGCTACGTCCTGGACAAGTGGGTCCAATTAGTCTTGAAAAGCACAAAGTGCACTCTCAGCCCAAACCTTAGAATAATAATTTACTGTTTTTTTAATACACAAACCTATACACTCATTCACTAATGGTGCATCGTGTTTATTCAAACACACTGGGTGCTACACTACAGCATTAGCAGTAACACCTAAACCTGCAAACCAGCAGACGGTTGCTATGATTAAATCAAGTTGCAATATGCTGCGGAATTATTAAGGGTTCCAAAGCTTAAAGTTGTCAGAGTCCAGATCAGGGGCACCGGCAGACTCCATAACCGGTTAACGACCTTTATAAATTGATTTCTATGTCTTAACATTTTCTACAAAAGCTGTACCTTTGAAAAGATTATTTTTACTTGCATAATGAATAATAGATGTCATAAGCAGTGCTTGCATGTGTGCTTGGATTAATTATCTTGTTTAAAATGCAATGTGCATACTTGTAATTGATGGATTGTTATCCATTAATTAGGCCTGACAATTTTGAATCTGAATTTGAATATTTTGTTGCAGGATAGGATACTACATGTAGCTCATCACAGATTAGGTCTACATTCATTCACCAGGGGTAAACTGATATGTATTTGGTCTATTTTTTGTTTATTAATCTATTATCTTAATATTTTATCCCAGTCTTGTTTAATTCAAGAAGAATCCTGCAAAAACACAAACTTTACAATTTTAGTTTTTTTTTTTAAGTGCAATAAACATGCACTCTTCATTCACCAAACTTTTTAAATTCATTCTGCTAATCTTTTCAGAATTTCGATGTATTTTATTTATTGCTTGAAGCTTAGTTTTGCACAGCGTGCATCGCATGGCATCAAGCAGGTTATCACATAATCCTGGCAGAGATTTCCAGGAAATTGAACTTATAGTAAATCCTGCTGTGAATACTAAGTATATATCTGACTGGTAAGAAGATATCCTCACCTCTTCGCAAAACTGAAATCCTTTTTGCTGAACCATTTTATCCTTTTCCTAATTTCATAAATGTATAATTTTGGACTGAAAAACATTAAGTGCTCTCACATTGCTTCAAAAGAGGATGAAATGTAGCAGTGTCATAATCCACATTGAGGTAAACATCAAAGGTAACAAAATCTAATGGCACTATCCCAGAGCCCTTTAAGCTGCCATCACAGCTTCTCTCGCCTTTTACATATATTCATGCATCTAAATATGCATTTTATTTGGGTCTACATGGGGGAAAAAATATTTCTTTGAAGCATCAAGTCCACCTGCTTACATGATGTATTCTTGTTGTTTATTATAGACCCAGTGACATACATAGTATGTGTTTACTTGGGTAAATAAAGTTTAAAGTGTGTTCAGAGTGTGTCACAGCATCAGTATAAGACACTTTTGCTGTTCTGTCACTATTTCTAGATTTTTCCTTATTTTAAGGTCTTCTCCAAGCTACAATATGAAACAAATGAAAAAAATTATATATATTAGAAAATAGAGGTAAACTTTTCTAAATTATGATACATTTGGAGAACGATTAGTATTTAAAAAACAAAGTTTTTGATCACATTGCCTGAGGATCCTAAAGACCTATGATCAATTCTAGTATTGCTCGTAAAAAGCTGGAGGGCTTGGTATTTTTTTATTTATGTGTTCTTCCTTTTTAATTTTGTTGGTAATAAAGAGAAATTTAACTGCCTTGGTTTTTTTTCTGAAGTACACAAGGACAGTTTGAGTAAACACAAACCGATCAGTATTTGTCACTTTGTCAAAACCATTTTGAACTTTCTTTCTGACTGTCTCACCTTGAACACTGGGTCCATCTGTCCCGTTTCATGACAGGTATTCTCCATAGATAACTTGTATTTATATACCGTATTAACATTTTATAATCCATTATTTAATCATACCAACTGTTTGGTTACTTAATAAGTGGTACCTCATCACCAAAACAAATTATTTGTCCATAAAAAACACATATGTAATACTTTTGATTTTGATTTACTGAAACAAATGCTTCTTGTTTTCCATACTTGTGGTATCTGTCTTTTGGATTTAGGAAAAATAACACCTCACAAAAATTCAACCACACTTAGCTTGTTAGATTATTGAATATATGACAACATTACAGAAAATTAAATTTTTGTTATTTTGTTAACTCATAGAGTGAAAGTTTTGTTTTTTATATTTAATTGGTCTTGCCATGTTTGATGTTACTCTACTTTTATTATTGTTTGTTAAGTAATTTCATACTTTTTAGTCCAGTATCTCATTTTTTTTTTTCTTGTGATCTGTTCTCTTTACGTTTGGAGTTATTTATCTTTGATCACTATTAGTCTTACCCCGTTGTTTAGAGGTTTCCGTGTGGATTCTTCTGTTACATTTTTTTGTCTGTCTGTTTGCCCTGTTTTAGACTTTTAACTTTCCTGTTTTCATTTTGTTAAACACTTTCAAAATGTTCGTCCAGAGTTCCTGTCCACATTTTGGTCCAACTCTAAACCACACAAAACCTATAACTTGACAGATATAGATACATCTACTGTATATTGCTAATGAAATTAAGATATTTGAGATTAGACTAATGTATCAGACCAAAACAAAATGTCCATCCTAAAATTTGAATTTGATAAAAACATTTTAATACCTGTTAGAAGGTGGTTATTTTCATAATTTATCTGATTATTTATTTATCTGACAGAGGAACCTCATCATAATGCATATTCAAAGGTATTGAGCCCAACTATTTGGCACACAAACAGTTAAACATGAGTGGTTGTATTTTTTTACATGTTAGTTTGTAATCAATATCTGAAGTAAAGAAACACACAAATTATATGAAGAAAGAGATGTAAAAAAAATAAGGGGAAATTTGTTACAGCAGCATCTGTAACTTTTGCTGCATATTAGTAAAATGGTGTAAACATTCTTTAAATAAAAATGCCTCTTTCTTCCCTAACGATCTTTCCAGATTTCTTAGCAGGGCGGTTGAACAATTCTTCCTCCGTCTTTATGTTTTTTGTAGTGTTCCTTTAGGATAAGCACGGAATAATTCCACCTTTATCTAACCTTTGTGTCTTCATCTCTCCTCCCAGGATCCCTCCTTCTCACTCCTGCTCCATGACAAGCTTCAGGTGCCAAACAGCTCTCGGCGGGCGTGGAATGAGCGAGACAGTCGCTGTGATGTCTGCTCCACTCATCTCACCCAGCTCAAACAGGAAGCTGTACGCATGGTCCTCACCCTCGATCAGTGGGATCTGTCACCTACTTCTTCGCCTCCGGCTCGCTATGGATCTCATGGACACACAGGACCATCAGGAGCCTCGGGAGTACCAGGAAGTCAACTTTCACGAGAATGGTCTCCTACAGTTCTTCCCTCCTCCTCTGTGACTGCCTCATACACTCTTCACTCGTCCTTTCAGTCTCCCTCTCCAAGCCCTAGTCAGACACCAACGCCAAGCCCAAACCATGGACAGAGTCCCTCAGGGGTGCAAACATCCAGCTGTGGTCCTACAAATCAGCAGCTCCAAGGGGCAGGAAACAAACTGGGATCAAAACCTAGCTCCCTGGGTCTTGGAGCAGGGGTAGATCGAAGGAATAGCTCCCCTAGTTCAGGAAAAGCCAGCGCCCAACTGCAACCAGTGAGTGGAGTAAACAGTCCAAGTAATATTGGTGGAGGAGCCATACTGAGTGCAGCTGCTTTACAGGCTCATCAGCAGCAGAACCGGACAAATGGAGGAGTTACTCTGTATCCATACCAGGTAAGGCACTTACACATACAGGGTTTTGAATGTGAGTGTACTTTTAAAACAGACTTATTAACGTCATCACAGTTAACAGATAAGATATAAACTGTCCTCTTCTGTGAACAGAGTAACCAAATGATAACAGATTTGTGTGAGAAGCATAAACAGAAAAAAAACTAACTCTGAGTTTTTAAAAGTGGTTATTTTCAAAAGGTACTGTTGCATCGTGTTATATTTCCTACTAAAGTCTTGTTTTTTATATTTTGGTGATCATGAACATTCAAGAAAGTAACCGTTAAGCTGTAACTCATGTCATGACCACAACCCACAAAACCCCCAGAGCTAGTTCCCACATTTAGCCCTGTCCTTCAGGGTGTCTTGCCACTGACCACTTGGGTGACATTCTATTCATCTGTATTGGGGAAGGTTTATGGTTGTTTTTTTGCCTTACCTCTGCCCACATCTTATACACAATATTTGAAAAATGCACCTTATGGCAGAGGTGTTGCAGACTAGGGTAGAAGGTTGTAGTCTCTGCTGTGATTGACTGATGGAGTGACATTAATCAGGGCTGTCAATTCTAACCTATTGGGCGTAAGACTTCTGCATCTCAGTGTCTTCACACGCTCACACTCTGACAGACATTAAAACTCAACTCCATTCCACTTATTTATATGTAAAAATACAAA